TGGGGTTGTTAACCAATGTCATGAAACAATGTGTGTACTACTGTTTCATGAGAAGCTATTTGTTCTATAAGCCTTCACCTGAAGTACAATTTAAAAAAAAAAAAAACTACAGTGCTTTTCTGTAAGATTTTGTATGTGATTATTACTATTAAGATTATGCAAAATAAATTGCGTTTCATATGCATTCTTACATTTGTTTGTTCATTCATTCAACAGGGTTGTATTACGGGCTGGCTATGTGGTCAAGGGAAACCCTGCTGGAGTAGTGGTTAAGAGCTATGGCTACTAACCAAAAGGTCGGCAGTTCAAATCCCCCAGCCACTCCTTGGAAACCCTGTGGGGCAGTTCTACTCTGTCCTATAGGGTCACTATGAGTTGCAATCAACTAGACAGCAATGGGTTTGGTTTGGTTTTATGTATCAGACAAAGGTCCCTAGGTTTGCACTCAACTGCTAACCTAAATATTGACTGTTGGAACCCAAAGAGCAGTACCAAGGAAGAAAAGGCCTGGCAATCTATTTCCATTAAGATCACAGACCAGAAAACCCCTATGGAGCAGTTCTACTCTGTAACGCATGGGATCGCCATGAGTCAGAATTGACTGGAGGACAACCAACAACAGCAACATATCAAGCACTGGGGTAGGTGCTAAGGTACAACAACAAAGCCCAGAGAGTTCCAGCCTTCTCTGAGTTTATGATTCACAACTATTGTCATGGGTCTCAAATGAAGAAGTTCTGAGGACAGTTCTTGGAGCAGACAGAGGGAACCAGCCTAATCAGGGTAGGGAGACGCCATGGGGAGGTGATGACATGCTGACATATGAAGATTAAGTGGGAATTTGCCAATCTCCCATCCATGGAATTCCTTCTTTGTGCCTTCTCTTCTGTTATTAACTTTTCCCTTACTAGCTTTCTTGAACTTTCCTCATATACTAATAATTTTGTTGTTTTTTTCTGTACCTGTAAACTCTGTCAGGGGACTGAATTATTATTTGACCATTTTGACCTACAGAAGTAGCAATTTCATATGGTTCAACCTAATATTTGTATACTGTACAGGCTAAATGACCCTGGTCTTTCAAAATTATAGTATCCCACTGCAGTCTCTTTAAAATTTATTTCAAGCAATTCATCACAAACTAAAAACATCCCAATTATTTTCTATCAAATACTGCTCTTTCAGATTATCTTTCCCAGCTTATTTTTTACCAAGTTGAATTTTGTTTTTCTCTTGAGTTTATAATTTCATCTGGTGTTGGGGTCACTGGTTCCACATCTATGCTCTTGGGAATACCCCCAGTTCCTTTTGTTAGTTCATTTATTCTTTCTTTCATGTTATTGTTGAGAAATAAACTAGTTCTACGGACTATCAAAATAGAATATCAACTCCTTTCCTGGAAAGAATGAAATCTCTTGAAAAATTGCCTCTATTTCACTGTTATTGAGGGTAAGGCAAGGTTACACCAAAACAGCATGAGCTGGTAAGCTTTTAGTAGTTGTTTTCAAGACTGCCGTTGTCAAATATGTGAACAGAATTGAATTTCACCCATGCCCGCAGACCTGCAGAGAGAATTGTAAACTAAAAAAAGAGGCAGACTAAAATCTTCGCTACAATGAAATTATGATGATTTTTCGCATTGTACAATCACATTGGAAGAGAACTTTTCATATCGATCCGTTTTTCATCTTCCCAGATGTACTGTGGAAAACTTTCCCTTCACTGTTAATCTGGGTTTATCTATGACTAAAATTATAAATACATCCTTGGAACCTCCTCTCTTCTCGTGCTACTTGTCCATGGAACTACTGAAAAAGATAAGGTCTGCCTATAAAAGGACCTTTGGGCGCTATCTGGTCATGTGCAGGACTGGACGGGACGGAACTGCCACAGTGAGTCAGAAACATATGTTCCAGGCTTTGTTTATTAGAAGTTACCCGAATTCTAGTGATTTAGGTCTAACTGAACTTGAATTATTCCAGTCTTTTAAAAAACTGATTTAGCCAAGACTCATTCAAGTTTTTAACTTTATTTAGATGCTGGTAATTTGGACACTCTCAATATTGCTGGGGGCAGTGGCAGGTAAGAAAAATAGCCCTGGGGGTACGGTGGTTAAAGCGCTCAGCTGCTAACTGAAAGGTGGGCGGTTTGAACCCACCAGCTGCTCCGCAGGAAAAAGATATGACGGTCTGCTTCTGTAAAGATCAAAGCCTTGGAAATCCTATGGGGCAGTTCTACTCTGTCCTATCGGGTTGCTATGAGTCAGAATTGACTCCACAGCAAGGGGTTTGCTTTGGTTTTCAGTTTGGGAGAGACTCAGTGCTCAAGGCTTTGAAGAAGGGCTACGACAGGTAAACTCAAGCCACCATGAGGATAAGGAGTAGAGTGAGGAAGAGGACACCGTTAAAGAACACAAGCGCTTGGAATAGAGTTGCTGGAGGAAATCCAGGATGCCCAGTTAAATTTGAGTTTCAGATAAACCATAAATATTTCAGATAAACAACAAATATGGGACACATTTATACTTAAAAAATAATTCTATTTATGTAAAATTCAAATTTAATTGAGCATTTTGTGTTTTCATCTGTTAAAGCAACCCTAGCTTGGAGTCAAGTGCGGGGTTGAACTCTGTCTCTACCATCTACAATTGCATTACCATGAACAAAATTCTCAACTCTTCTGTGTTTCAGTATCTTCATCTGTGAAATTGGGATAATAATACCACCTGTCTCAGAGGGTTGTTATAGGCTTTAGATGAGATGAGTCATGTAAATCATTTTGCCCAGCACCTGGCATTTAGAAAGGTCTCAGTTAATGCAGTCCCCACTACAGTTGCTATTCCTACTCCAACTATTAATCTAGACTTTATCCTCCTTACGAACCCTTCCTTTGAGTTGTTCCTTTATGAGGCAACATTCAAGCCTAGAGTTTTGTCAAACCGTGGGTTGCTGGTTGGTTTGTTTGTGAACAGCTTCTTCATCACGGGAATCCAGAACGCCCCTCAAACATAGGTCAGAGATATAACTGCTCAGCCAGAGTGGAGATAAAAACTTGAGTTTGCATGAAACTTGAGCTCTCCATCCAAAGCCTAAAGCCAGAAGTGGCTAAAAAGTTGTTGAGACCCTCATTCCTTCCATGAGGCCTGGGGACACAAGGACACTCTTTCCTTAGTCACCAATGGCCGGAGGAAGACACCCTAGTTGAAAGACCAAAACAGGTCCTAGCATGAGACTGAGCAAGAGACATGGGGAAAGGCAGCCGTGCATGGTGGAAATGAGGAAAGCAGCCCTGTCTCTAACAAGAACACTGTCTTTTGAAGTTGTTTTGTGGGTGTGTGGATGGGAGGGTGTTTGGGGAAGTGGAGGAAGGAAATTTGCCATAAAATATAATTTAACTAATATTTAGGCAGAGAGATGATTAAATACAGTGTTCTGGTTAAACTAACATCCTTGGAAAACTTCTGGGTGATTGCAGGAAGTGAAGTCTGCTACAACCAACTCGGCTGCTTCACTGATGATAACCCATGGGCAGGAACTCTAAAAAGACCCTTCAAAGTCCTGCCCTGGTCTCCAGAAGATGTCAACACCCGCTTCCTCCTGTTCACCAACGAGAACCAAGACACGTTTCAAGTAAGAGCACACATGGTTTTTAGAACTAAGTTCCCTGGGTTTCATGTCATGAAGAGAACTAAATAGTCGAGGTTTCTAAAGAGAACAAATTAGACAGTGGAATACACACATTTGTAGACTTTTTGGACAGTGAGCTTAAGTATTATTTAATGTAACTTGTTTATAAAAGGTTCACTAACCTGACATTATTCTTGTCTTATCTCCATGATACCATTTATATAGCAAACATATTATTCCAAGTTGAACAACTAAATATTTCATGATGGCTAGAAAGTCACCACTTAGTGATGATTGTGAACAGCTCGGTTGTGTGGGAGGATCCTTACTCAGCAAAATCCCAAATCCTGGCAGTCTTCTCCCACCTCCCACCTCCCTCCATGTACAAATAATTCTATTGCATACCATAAGAAACTTGACATTAAACACTTTTCTCCCCTAAAATAGGTAGTAACTGCAGATTCATCAGTTATCAAGGCCTCCAAATTCCAAAAGAATAGAAAAACCCGCTTTATTATTCACGGATTCAACGACAAGGCAGAAGGAAGCTGGCCGCCTGACATATGCAAGGTGAGACGTGGTAATCTCTTAAGGCAAGAGTGTTTCTGGAGTGATAGTTAACAACTGGTAAGGCACAGACCCTAAACAATTGGGACATGGGCTGGACCCCATAGCACTGGAGGATCCTGTGAGCACTTCTGGGCCTGGGGTTCTCATGGAAGGTCCAGGAGGTGGGGTTAGGGAGGGAACCTGAGCATCAGATTGGTAGGCATGTTTTGGCTCCTGTTGCCGGTGAATAGATTCTGACTCACAGTGACCCTATAGGATGGTAGAACTACCCCATAGGGTTTCCAAGGAGAGGCTGGTGGACTCGAACTGCCAATCTTTTTTGATTAGCAGCTGAGTTCTTAACCACCATGCCACCAGTGGCTCTGAGTAGTCATTATTTAATAACAAGTACAGGGATATTTCAAAATTTTATCAACAGATGCTACCATACTGATGCATATCAGTTCATCATAGGACCTTGTTTTTTCAATAGCTTTTAATTTTCCTGTGAGGAGCTAAGATATCTCATTTTGCCCACACAAGTTCTTTTTTTTTTTTTTCCTTTCTTTTTCTTTTTTTATTGTACTTTAGATGAAGGTTTACAGAATAAACTAGCTTCTCATTAAACAATTAGTACACATATTGTTTTATGACATTGGTTAACAACCCCATTACATGTCAACACTCTCCCTTCTTGACCTTGGGTTCCCTATTACCAGCTTTCCTGTCCCCTCCTGCCTTCTAGTCCTTGCCCCTGGGCTGGTGTGTCCCTTTAGTCTTGTTTTGTTTTATGGGCCTGTCTGATCTCTGGATGAAGGGTGAACCTCAGGAGTGACTTCATTACTGAGCTGAAAGGGTGTCCAGGGGCCATAGTCTCGGGGTTTCTCCAGTCTTTTTCAGGCCAGTAAGTCTGGTCTTTTTTTGTGAGTTAGAATTTTGTTCTACTTTTTTCTCCAGCTCTTTCCGGGACCCTCTATTGTGATCTCGGTCAGAGCAGTCAGTGATGGTAGCCGGACACCATCTAGTTGTACTGGACTCAGTCTTGTGGAGGCCATGGTAGTTGTGGTCCATTAGTCCTTTGGATTAATCTTTTCCTTGTATCTTTAGTTTTCTTCATTCTCCCTTGTTCCCGAAGGGAGGAGACCAGTGGAGTATCTTAGATGGCTGCTCACAGGCTTTTAAGACCTCAGACGCTAATCACCAAAGCAGAATGGAGAACATTTTCTTTATAAACTATGTTATGCCAATTGAGCTACATGTTCCCTGACACCATGGTCCCCACAGCACTCAGCCCAGCAATTCAGTTCCTCAGGGAGTTTGGATGTGTCTTTGGACATGCTGTCAGAAGGGATCAGTCCCTGGAGAAGGACATCATGCTTGGTAAAGTACAGGGTCAGCAAAAAAGAGGAAGACCCTCGATGAGATGGATTGACACAGTGGCTGCAACAATGAGCTCAAGCATAACAACAGCTGTGAGCATGGTGCAGGACTGGGCAGTGTGTCGTTCTGTGGTGCACAGGGTCACTATGAGTCGGAACCAACTTGACGGCGCCTAAAAACAACTAACTACAAATGGAGCATCCATTTCATTGCTTTGTACAAGCTGGCCCACACTCGTTCTTGTCCTTTGATTTTCACTTGTTAAATCTTTGATCTCCTGTGGTAGTGGTATCTAGGAAAACTGGATAGGTTTTCATTTCTGACTTCTCTTGTTTTAACGTTTACTGGAACCAACGATTCATTTTCTTTCATTTGCTTTTGGCTGTGCCACATTTTATGCAATTTTTCATGAATCAAATTTCTATGCCTGTGTTGCAGTGCAAATCTGAAGAATCCAATTCCCACTGTAGCCAAACCTCCAGTTTGGAGTCAATGTTAAACATGGCCCTGTGATAATGAAGAACTAAAAGATAGAAAATCAAATAGAATAATTTTTTCTAGTTGCTGCCAGTGTTTGAAGAACATTATGGATTCATTTATTCATGTATTTATTCATTTATTCATTTATTCGCAGTCCTTTTTTCAGAGGTCTCAAAAAAAAAGACACAAATGTCATCCTCAACCCATTTCATTTCAGGCCTGTCTACAACTCAAGTCAAAAGCTGAACTGAGTCAACTCCAGAGTGTATCCATTGATCCAGAAGATAAATGAAATAAACAGGCTAGAGTCCCTTCACTTCACAAGTGTAGAAATAGAGTAAAACAATGATCTGCCTTCAAAAATAATTTAAAGCTGAGAATTATTGGGGATACAGGAATATAATTCTATACAACAGTGAAGAAAAAATACTAAGTGATTCATAGCTCAAAAGAATATAGATTTTTAGATATTTATACACAATTTATTTCCAAGGCCCCAGAAGCAGACATGTTTTTCTTTCATTTAATTTGATTTTGACAACACTGTTGCATTATGATAGAGAAGCAAGTGTATTAAACTAGGATGTTAAAGATCCCAGATTCCAGCCTTGACTTTATCATGAGCTAACCATAACGTTAGCAAATTATTTCCCCTCTTTGGATTTTTCTATCCGTACAATGAGGGAGTTGAAGATGACTTCTAATATTGCTTTATTTTTCTCAAATTCTTTTTGGAACAAAGTGGAGGTATGTATAAACACACACTCAAACAAACAAAATTCCTGCCAGATCTAACATTTCTGTAACTGTAATTGATCCCCATCATAGAAGACTTCCAGTGGGTATCTAGTAGTTATGTTTTTATGTGAAATAAGTCTTCAATGATGTACAGTAAAGCATCTTCATCCAAAAACTTTGATTAGTCTTTTCATCATGGAAAAACTTACCCACTAACATTCAATATACTGAGCTAAAGGGTCCTAACAAATCTTTCATTCATTCATTCAATAGATATTTATTGATCACCTATTATGTGCCAGGAACAGTCTGGGCACTGAGAATACAGCCATTGAACAAAACACGCAATGTCCTTGGGTACATTCTAGTGTAAGACAATATAGTCTTAATGACATTTCTAAGGATCTAACGAGACAGCTACAGTGCCACATTTTATGAGATTTTTCATGAATCAAATTTCTATGCCTGTGTTGCAGTGGAAATCTGAAGAATCCAATTCCTGCTGTAGCCAAACCTCCAGTTTGGAGTCAATGTTAAACATCAGGAGTAATTTCATATCCATAACAGACTAAAGACTTTGTTCATTGCTTTGGGATTAAAAGCGAGCATGATATGGTGGAAATTTATCCTAGTCCTCAAATGTGCAAATTAGTAATTAACAAAGACCCTGCATTGTTTACCTATTTAGTTGTGTCTCTTCCAACAGAACATGTTTCGGGTAGAAAGCGTGAACTGCATCTGTGTGGACTGGGAAAAGGGGTCTCACACCGGATACACACAGGCTACGCAAAACATCCGGATTGTGGGGGCAGAAGTGGCATATTTTGTTGAAGTTCTTCAGGTAACTGCCGCCAGGTTATATAAGAGCCTATACATCTTGCTCTCTGAATTCTGTTTTTTTGTTTTGTTTTTTTAAATGCTGTAGGTTTACTAATTGGTAAAGACGTTTCTCGCTTGAGATTTGGCTTTCCCTTGGTTGGAAAGAAAAATGCAAAACATCTAGATTTGGACCTCATCAATAAATCTACTTAAGTCAATAAACTAGTTTGTTTGTTTTTTAGGTAAATTTTGCCATGCAGCCAGGTAGGTTGTTTTTGCTTAATTCCCCCAGTATTTGTTTAATTTTACTAGTTGCCAAACCAAGTTGACATGACAGTGTCAACCTCAAGATTAAACTAGTTTTTTTTTTTTTTTGGTTTTGTTTTTTTAAGAGAAGCACAATGATAACAAGATAACCTGACTTGGTAACCAAAAAATATAGGACAATTAAACTTGTATGTACTGAAGTAATTGCTTTCATTATTATTTTCTAATCCAAATTCTTGTTGCATCATCTCTGGGTAACAGTTCTTCATACTGACCATACCTATTAAGGATCCTCTCAATATTGTAAAATGAAAAAATAAAGCCCCACTGGCAATTGTTCAAAAGTTAGACCCATTTCCTTTTCTTCAATTGTAATTTTGAAAAAAATCCATGAGAAGCAGTTGCTTTGAGGAGGCAGTATGTCTTTTTAAGTTTTCAGAGGTTTCCCTTCTGTACCCATCTTTAATCCTGCAATACTTGAAAACATTCTGAAGAGATTTCCTTTCCAACAGTCGACTTTTGGGTACTCGCCTTCCAATGTCCACATCATTGGCCACAGCCTGGGTGCCCATGCTGCTGGGGAGGCCGGAAGAAGGCTGAAAGGCACCATTGGACGAATCACAGGTTGGTCAAAACAGTGAAAGCTGCAACATTAGAGTAAATGTAGCTCAAATGGGTCTAAAAGGAAATACAGGAGGGAAATTTGGTGCAGCCCTGCTTTTCACCTGAGGAGACAGACTTGCACATTTTCCAAACTGGATCAGAAATCAATGGTTCTGAGGTCTTGGGAATTTTTTATTGATACAGATCTTTGGTCTACAGAGCCCTATTTAATACATAAATACTGCATGTGACTAAAATACGAATTAAGAATATCTGCAGGCCTCATTCATACCTATTTTTCCTTCAGCAGGCATTCACAAAGCACAAGTTTCATGGTGTAATTTAAATAGAATTAATACTGAAGACTTCAAAATTGTTTAATTAATTATATTCTACTTCAGTAGAAGTTGCTAATTAGCCCAAACTTAGTCAATTATCCAAAGTTGTATGTGTGTGTTGGGGTGGAGGAGAGGCGATGGTCAGGTGGTCAGGTTTCCCTGGCCTGCCAGTTCTTCCTGCTACTAATTAGATAAAAATATTATTTTAAAAACCTCAGACTGGATGCATTGGGCCAGTGGGATCACATGTTGGATACCTAGGTCCTAAAACAACGCTATAATCTTAAGAGAAAGAGGTGAGTATTTTAGGGAACAACCACTTGCCTCCTCTATCTTCTGTCTCTGAGCTCCTGATTCTCGAAAATACATAGATGCATGCACATACACGTACATACATACTAGGATAAGTTCGTTGCGTTTGGATTGGTGCGGGCATCTGGAATGTCTAGCGATTCATTTACACAAAATGTTCTTTCCTATACTCTGTAAGTGTTTACAACAGCCTGCTCATCCAGGTGCTAAGTGAGCCTGTGGTCACAGCAACTGTGACAACCAAGGTCCTCTCCTTCATGGAAGTTTATAGTCTAGTGGGGACTATTCTAGTCTGGACAGCTTTTAGGGGTCCAATATCTCCTGAAGTCTGGGGTTTTCCCCATGACTGCAGCCAGTGATGGCATTGTCCCCAGTGACTAAACATCCATTAGTAGAGGCAAATTCCATGGTTTGGGGAAAAGTCACTTTAATGCAAATAGCAAACTAAAAGCAGATTTTTCTTCAAAAAATAGTAAGGTAAGGAAGAACTATGGAGCTCTGGTGGCGAAGTGGTTAAGCACTCAGTTGCTAACCAAAAGGTCTGTGGTTCCAACCCACCAGCCACTCCTTGGGAGAAAGATGTGGCAGTCTGCTTCCATAAAGATCACAGCCTTGGAAACCCTATGGGGCAGTTCTACTCTGTCCTATAGGGTCACTAGAAGTCGAAATCAACTAGATGGCAATGGGTAAGGAAGAATTAGCATATCTCTTCCCATGGATAACTCACAATTACAGCCAGTGTTTGCCCTCATATCTGTAACTACTGAGGAAAGGTGAGTGTGCATAAATACGGATGGATGTTAACATGACACATCCCTTTTGCTTTAGGATTGGATCCAGCTGAACCTTACTTTCAGGGAACACCGGAATTAGTCCGATTGGATCCCAGTGATGCCATGTTTGTGGATGCAATCCACACTGATGCTGCCCCCCTTATCCCCAACTTGGGTGAGCTCCTCAACTTGTCTTCTCAGAGTGATCAGCTGCTCATCAATTTAATTTTATATATTAACATCAATCTTCCCTTATTTTAAAATTCCACAGGGTTTGGAATGAGCCAAACTGTGGGCCACCTAGATTTCTTTCCAAATGGAGGATTAGAAATGCCCGGATGCAAGAAGAACGCTATGTTTCAGATTATTGACATAGACTCGATCTTGCAAGGTAAAACCATTATGTGTATAAAGAGATGTCCTAGGGGAAAGTTTCTGTTTTGTTTTGCCAAAATCGTTAAATATCTCGGTATTTTACAGGTCTCACATTTTATATAACAAAGGACTTTTAATTGTATTCCCGAGATACTTAGCATTCTGTGAGGTTTTTAATTGGAGAAAGAGGGCATAAGGAGATCATTGGAAGGAAAATGTATTTGCAGTCAAATTTCCATGGTTCTTATTCAGGGAATATATTCCTAAATTACACTTAGATATCTATATAGACCAATCTTTCCCTTCTAAAGTTATTTTCCCATTTCCTTTAACTATGACATAACTATTATAATCTTAAATGGTTCTTATTGATTTATGATTGCATTTTGATTCATAGATACACTTCATCAATAATTTCTATCTGTGACCTCCATGAATTGATACTGATTAGAGAAAAGTCAGGAAAACTACAATGTCACTGATGTGTAATCATGTCTAATTTCAAAGGAATTTCTGGCTCTTTGGCCTGTAATCACTTAAGAAGCTTCCGGTATTATTCTGACAGCATTCTCAACCCTGATGGTTTTGCTGGATTCTCTTGTTCTTCTTACAGTAGTTTCACCGAAGTAAGTACACTGTACCTTCCACCCAAGAACATAGTGACTGTCACTTCTCAGGCCTGGTATGGCTCTCTGTACCCAGCATGCATTCAACAAACGTTACTCAGTCGCTGCCAAATTACTTATACTTTTAATCATATGTACACATTAATAGTGATAAAGCATTAGGGAATTTGAGATGAAGTGGGCTTGAAAATGGAAATGCCCCAGGTCTATCTTATTCTCTATCACTGCTGTTTTTATCAGATAAAATTTCAAACTTGTTTTGAAAGTAGTTCTAAATGAGAGACAGTCTAGGGAAACCTGAGCTATGTCTACAGGCTGTTAATGAAACTGTAAAAATTTTCTTAAATGCTGACCTTTAAAAACTATATGATTATAGGTATATAAATATGTAATCTATGTAATCTCATACTTGCCAAGATATTTTTTGAGTTTTCATCTTCTTTGATATTCTCTAGATAGCTAGGTTAAGATTCTTAAGTGTGATCTTGAGTATGACATCTATTGCCTGTTGTTTATTGAACTGGCTTTTTACTATAAATTTTATCAAATTAAAATTTGTAACCTATGCAATTTAATAAGAAAAATTTTAAGTAATGTGCCAAATGCTGTCATAATTACCCAGAAGATACACCTCCTTGATTAAAGAGAGGAGGTGAATCCTGGTTTCATCCTTAAATAGCTGAGTGACTTTGGGCAAAATACTTAATTTCTCTTAGACACTATTGTCATTTGTAAATATAAATAATAATTGTATGATTCCATAGATTTGGTCAGAAGATTTAATGAGATGACATATGTTAATTGTTTAGCTTAGAGCCTAAAATATAATAATTAGTATTCTGCAAATGTTGACTATTATTGGGGCTGCATATTTTATTCACATTACAGCTTGCATATATAATAAGAATGAACCTCCCCTTTCTTTGATTTAAATTTATTTTTATCTTTTTCCCAAGTTCTTGTCCTCTAGTTAATGGGGAAAACAAACTAACAAAAATAGCCTTAGGTCGCATCCAGTTGAAACTTAGTCTGATTCAAGTACATGAACAGTCCTTTTAGGTAATGCTCGGTCGCTTTTATAAGAAAAAAATTTCAGTCTTGCAGATCTCTCAGCCTTTGAACCCCCTGAACAGCTTTTCTCCAATTTTGTATCGAGGCAAGGTGATCATAATAGTGGTGGTCAGTGTGTGTGTTTGGCAGAGGGGGAGATTTGGGGGCCTATGGGTGCAGGGTCATCTGGCTGCATCGAACTCTGGTCAATATCCTTGTCTGCCTTATTGATGGGAGCACTGCTGGCATTTGCAGATGAAGTCTGGGGCTTGTCTGTTCTTCTAGCCCAGGCAGTGCCCTCAGAGAACTTTGGCTATTTCTCCCTTGCTGGATGCAGATCCCTGAGATTCTGCCAAGTCCATTATCTGGTCCATTGATCCTGGAGTCCACCCCTTGCCTCTATGGTGGAGTAGTAGCAGCCTAGCCAATCCATAGTAGGAATTGGGATGCTTTCCTCCACACTCTGTTGCTCCTGCTTCCTCTCTTTTCCCCACAATTCCTTGACCTAGAAAGAGTGGACAATCTCCTATGTTATACTCCTCTTTGCCAGACTCCAACCTCCTGTCTAAGCCTGCATGGCCCTCGGGGGCATTTTTTTCTCCACATTGGGAGAATTCTGGTATCTGAGTCGTGTTTTGATTTACTAAATAGGAGCTAAAGGAATTGAGAAAAGCCTGACTTTTGAGCCTCTTGCCTTCCTACTGGATCCTGTTTTGCCATGTGAGGAGCTCATTATCACCTCCTGGTCTTTCTCTTTGCAAGCCTTCTAAAAGAAATTCTTACCACCTTGCAGGCAGATGGAAATCTTGGGCCAACTGGGGCAATTTAGACACAAGAGAGAAAATATAAATCCTCCTGAGTGTGATTTTTATATTCTTGTTGATATTGTGTTATTTAACAGTGAAATTACTGATTTTTTTTATTGTGAATAATCCATTTTCATAAGATGCATTTTAACTTTTACTGAGACACTACTAAAAACTATCAGAACAGAATCTGCTTTAGAATATTTGAATTGCAGCAACATGTGGAAAGAAGAATGTGCACTATTAAAGGAAAGAGCATCCTCATTCATCATACGTTTATTTTCACTAGAACAAGTGCTTCCCCTGTTCAAGCGAAGGCTGCCCACAGATGGGTCATTATGCTGATAATTTTCCTGGGAAAACCAATGGAGTGGGTCGGCTATTTTATCTAAACACTGGTGAAGCCAGTAATTTTGCCCGTAAGTTTCTATTTTACTTACCTTCAATTCTTAATGCTATGTATTTTGTCATATCTATTGAAAATGGGTAAAATTGCTTTTCTATACAAAAGCTTTAACCCCTCTCCAAAGTGAAGAAAATGTTCAGATACAGTGCTCAAGAGGATTATGGCTAGTTTAGGTGGCAGGACAGATTTGGGCTTGAACTATCAATGATACAATAAAGTGCTTCCCCTGAGCATTGTGCTCTTTTAAGATGTATCTATATGGGTTCAAATTGACAATAGCAACTCAAAAAATTAGATAGGAAACTGAGAGAACAATGAGTTTATGTTAATGGGGGAGGATCAACTTGGAAAAAGAAGGTGAGAATGGTACAACTCGAAGAATGTAATCGATGTCACTGAGTTGTACATGTAAAAATTGTTGAACTGGTGTATGTTCTGCTGTGTATATTCTCAACAACAACAACAAGAATAAAATAATTTATTTAAAAAAATAATAATAAATTGATTCACCTTTGATTCTGGTGCTGAATTCAGGAGTCTTTCTCTACTCCAACCTCTTCATATTCAGTCAAGTTTCACTAAGTAAAGTGCTGAGGTTTAGTACAAGCAGAAAGAGTAATGCAAGAGAGAGATGGCAGAGGTTGTGGAAATGGAAAGGCATTGACAGATTGGAGAGATTTTTAGGGTTGTAGACTCCTTGGAAGATGAGGGTGGTGAGGGATGGAGGACAGGCTCCAGGTTTCTTTTCTGCGTAACAGAAGAAGAAAACTACGTGGATGGGAGTCAATGACATAGCAGCATTCCAAAAACTAAAGACAAATTTTATCTCGAAATGGCAAAACTGGGAGTTCGCTATTGACTAGCAGCAAAGGAACTCTGTTTCAGTTACCAGAAAGTAATACATTTCCAATGGCTGTGGAAATTTGAGTTACAGAATAATTTTAAATGATGATAGACTATCTAGACAAAAAAAGACAGCACTCTAAAATTTTGTGATCTTTGAAAAGGAAGTAAACTGATAAACTTTTTAACTTTTTAACATTAGTTCTTATAACATTTAAGAATAAACTGTTAGATTAAAAACTTGAGAGTAAAATGGATTGCTTTTCAGTCCCTTGATTTGAAAAAAAAATCTATTGACTTTGGAAAGATTTGTCACCCTCTCAATGCCAGTCTCCTGAACATTTGGATAAAGGAATGTCTACGAAGAATTATCAACACCACATATAAATTACTCAAAATTGTACAATAGTAAAATCCAAATTAGCCTATTCTCAGTGAATCTTCTTTACAAGCTGACTTTTATGATTTTTTGTTTCATGCAGGTTGGAGGTACAAGGTAACTGTCACACTGTCAGGAGCTAAGGTTTCAGGAAAAATGCTAGTTTCTTTGTTTGGGGATAAAGGAAACTCTAATCAGTATGAAATTTTCCAGTAAGTGAAATATTACTCTAAATTTCTAAAATGTTGGAATAATTCTCATGTATAATGTTTTTTATCTATGTTATAGTTTATTCACTATATATAAATGAGTTTAGTAATGCCATATATAATTAAAAAGAAGAGTGTTTCACACCTTACCTTAATACATTTCAGAATTCTGTTTTGAAATGTTTGTCTTTGCTACTTTCTGAGAAAACCATTGATGTTGACCTTGATGTCTGACATCTGATATACAATCACTAAAGAATTATGCTGGCCACAAAACAGCTGGGAAAAGATGATATAGTGACGTCATTATTTATGAAATTGTGGGGAAATTATGACTAAAACATGTTTAAGTAAGGATGACTTTAAAGTAAGATGAGGCGTGAATGGCAAATGAACTGCACTGAGTTAGCATACGTATCTGCACCTGTTTAATACATTAAAATGACAGATACAATATCAATTATCTCAGCTAGCTATACATTGTAAGCTGGTTTTCATAACATATATATGTATATATATATTTATATTTGTATATATATATATTCATGTATGTTTTTGTTAACTTTTAACTCCCAGGGGCTCTCTCCAACCAGGCAATTCTTATTCCAATGCAATTGACTCAAATGTGAATGTTGGAAAAGTGCAGAAGGTTAACTTTATTTGGTATAACAATGATAGCAGCTCAACTCTACTGGGAGCATCCAGTGTTGTGGTGGAAAGAAACGATGGAACTGTGTAAGTATATGTACTAAAACTCCAAAGGGATTTGTAGTATTGAGTCAATTTGTAATTTTATTCCTACTCAAAGTCTACCTTATGTTAAACCTCTTATAGTGACTCTCCAACAAACCAGTCACATGTGCTTCGTTTTGTTTCTTTAGAGGAAAATGTAGAACTTCAGCAAAACAACCTTGATAGATTTGTAGATAAGTGTTGTGTTATCTGGTACAAATGAAGTATTAGAATGAGAATCTAATTTCATAATCCTAGATGATTTCATTTGGTAGCTCCACCTTGTGCTATCCGTGTGCTTAATGTGTGCTAATGGCTGACCAGCATCTCCCCCAAACTTCTTGGGTTCACCAAATTAACACTTATATTATCAGGAAAAAACTTAACTTCAAAAGATAGAAAGAGACTGTTCTGTATCACTGGCCCCCTGAATGAAGTCAGAGGTCCAGGAAATCAGCCTTAGGTAGTAACCAAGACTGGGGTGTGTATGAGCCAAAGGATGTCTACCATGGTAAACCACCAGAAAAGGTGAACTGATGATGATAATAAAAATACCAATATTAGCACAAGTGTTTTCAGTCTTAAGTTAAATTCTGAGGCACAGTGCTACGCTTCTGTCATCACATCATTCAGTTCTCAGAAAACCCTAATGATGGGACTTTTGCTTCCTGCAAAAATGGAGAAACAGAGACCAGATTTACCTTCCCAACTGAAACAACAAAAAATTCAGACAAAATATATGAAGCAACAGTTTTCAAGACACTCGGCATTAGGTAAAAAAATGACGGTGATCCCTGAGAGGCAAGAAACAAGCAAGCTGAGCCTTACGATTGCCTCAGCTTACTGCCTTGAGACAATTTCCAGGATGTGGCACAGGGAGAAGTTCAGGCAGAGTCCAGTGGACTGCCTGAGTTGAGGAGACAGAGCTGTGAATCCAGAAAACCAGGGCGACTAGATTTTACAAGACAGAGAACCAGAGAGGAGAGAGCTGCACAGAGGGAAAACACGAGAGATCTGCAAAGCCCTCTTGAATGTTCAGCAGTATACTGATCAGCACATGTGTGTGAGGAAACTGCTCAAGGTCAGTGAAATAGCCATCTGAAAGGATTAGAGGCAAGCGTGCCAAGTACTCTTGCAGGGCTGGGAATAGTGCCTATTTCCACCAACCAGACTGGAAAAATGCGTAATCCAAGAGGCACTGGGTAGAGTATTTAGGAAGGTCTCGCCCCAGTAGTGGGGAATAATTAGCCTAGACTGAGGAAGACCTGAAAGGGTCAAACTGTTTCCAAATAACTGCATCTGAGAACAAAATTCAAGAAGATTTGTAGGTACAGGTATACAAAATTATCCAGCAGACAACAAGGTAAAATTCACCATATCTGAAATTCAATCAAAGATTCTCAGATATGCAAAGAATCAGGACAGCGCAACCTATAATGAGGAAAACAATCAATCAACTGAGACCAAACCAGAACTGACACAGATGTTAGAATACTAAATAATTATTATACCTGTATTACATTTGTCCAAAAAGATCAGTAGAGACATGGAATATATAACAAAGACCCAAATTGTAGTTCTAGAGATGAAAACTACAATATGTGAGATGAAAAAATGCACTGGATACAATTAAAAGGAGACTGAACATTGAAGAAGAAAAGATTAGTGAACTTGAAGAAATAATAACAGGAACTATCCGAAATTCAGAGCAAGGAGATGGTATCATTTTTAAAATAAAAAGAGCATCAGTGAGTTGTGAGACTTCAAGCAACCTAATATGTTTGTCATTGGTGTCCCCAGTGGAGGAAGGGCAGAAAAATATATTTGAAGATACAATAGCCCCAAATATTTCAAACTTGATGAAAATGATAAGGCCACAGATCCAAGAAAAATGGAGAAAACAACACCAATACACATCAAAATCAGATTGCTCAAAACTACTAACAAAGAGAAAATCTTAAAAGCAGACAGAAAAAGACATTACATACTGAAGAACAAAGATAAAAATATAGCAGGTTTCTTGTCTGAAACAATACAAGTGAGAAGAAAGTGGTACAACATTTTCAAAAGTGCTGAAGGGAAAAAGACTATTAACCTAGAATTCTATACCCACAAAAATAACTTTGAAAGATGAAGATTAAATAAAGAATTTTCAAATATACAAAAGCTACAAGAATTCATCACCAGCAAATCAGCACTATAAGAGAGGTTAAAGGAAGGTCTTCAGACAGAAGGAAAATGATACTGGTTGGAAATGGATCTACAGAAAGAAATTAAGAGCGCTGGAAATGATAACAACATTGGTAAATACATAAGATTTTTAAAATATTATTAAGTCTCATTAAAAGATAATTGACAGTTTAACAAATAATGTCAATATTTTGGGGATTTATAACTTGTATAAGTAAAATGTATGACAACAGTACTATAAAGGGTGTTGTTGTTGTGTGCCATCAAGTTGATTCCAACTCATAGTGATCCTGTAGGACAGACTAGAACTTCCCCCGTTGGGTTTCTAACGCCATAATCTTTCTTCTGCAGAGTGGCTGGTGGTTCGAACTGCCAACCTTTTGGTCAGCAGCCAAGAGCTGAACCATTTAACCAGTGCTCCTTACTGTAAAGGGTAGAAGAGGACAAATGGAAATATACTATTGAAGGTTCTTATACCATATGTGAATTGGTATAATACCACTTGAAGTTATAATGTGAAAAGTTAAAAACATATACTATAAACTCTAAAGTAACCACTAAAATAACAAAACAAAGAAATATAGCTAATAAGCCAACAAAGGAAATAAAATGGAATCATAAAAAATAATCGGTTAATCCAAAATGAGGCATAAAAAGAGGAAAACGGGAACAAAGACACAGGGGGAGAATAAAAAAACAAACAGGACTTCCGGGCAACATGGCGCTATAGATAGTAGCACCATGCCGTCCCTCCACAGCAAAGACCCGAAAAACTAAGTCAAACAGAGACAAACGTCAGTCCTGAAACCCTAAACATCAAATGAAGAGATAAAGAACTCAGCCAAGCACCAAATGGAAAAAGAAACTGACAGAGAACAGAGAGCAAGGAGAGATATGTGCAGAGGTCCCCATCAGCTTATGCAGCACAGATTTGCCATCTAGGACTCCAGTCAGAGATCAACGAATAGGGAGTACGGGAAAGAAGCTTCACGGAGTTCCCAGCAGGAGAAAGAACAACCGGTAACCAGCGATATATGTTTTCTCACCGCCTACTCTTCTTCACACCCGCTCGGCCTCCTCTGCTCCCTGCAGCCACAGTCTCTTGGCCAGGAGGCACCAGCATCAGCCTTATGCTACTTGGACACCACCCACCCACACTGGCCAGCTCCCTGAGTGCCATTTGTTTGTTGAAGGATGAAAAGCTGACCACCCAAGAAGCTCAACAAACCCTGTATAGGATAGACTCGAAAAGAAAATCACCAAAGCATATCATAATCACACTTGCTAAAACCAAAGACAAAGGATCCTGAGAGCAGCTTGAGAAAAGCAAAAAAGTCACATACAGAGGACAAACAGTAAGACTAAGCTCAGATTATTCAGCAGAAACCATGCAGGCAAGAAGGCAATGGGATGACATATATAAAACCTTGAAAGAAAAGAATTGCCGGCCAAGAATAATATATCCTGCAAAACTCTCATTCAAATATGATGGTGAAATTAGACATTTCCAGATAAACAGAAATAAAGGGACTATGTAAAAACCAAACCAAACTTACAAGAATTATTAAACGGAGTCCTTCAGTCTGAGAACAAACAACATCAGACCACAGGCTGAATCTAGGACGCAGGATTGTATCACCCAGATACCAACCTAGGAAATGAACTCTCAAGGACTATAAAAAAAACAAAATAATTACAACAGGGAACCAGAGAGGTTAATCTGTAAATGACAACATCAGAACAATAAAAGAGGGAATAAATGGTGTAGGTATAGAACTTTCTAATGAAGAGATGGCAAGGTGACACCAAGTAATAATAGACTGGTTCAAACCTAGGAAGATAAGGGTAGATTTCAAGGTAACCACAAAGAAAGTCAACAAACCTACTCATCTAAATAAAGAAGAAAAACACAAAGTCTCAGTAAAAACAAAATCTTCAAAAACAAAAGAAATGAAAACAAAATCCACAAACAAAAGGAATTCAGCACAGGAGAGTAAGAGGAACAAATAAAATGTCAGAACCACAAAAAAGCACTACAAACAACAGCAATAAACTCACACCTATCAATAATTACACAAACATAAATGGCCTAAATGCACCCACGTAAAGAGACAGAGTGACAGAATGGATTAAAAAAAACAGGATCCAACAACATGCTGTCTACAAGACACACACCTTAGAAACAAAGATGTAAATTTATTAAAAATCGAAGGATGGGAAAAAATACATCAAGCAAACAGCTACCAAAAAAGAGCAGGAGTGGCAATACTAATCTCAGATAAAATAGAATTTAAAACAAAATCCACCATAAAAGACAAAGAAGGACACTATATAGTGATTAAAGGGATCATCCATTATGAAAACATAACCATTATAAACATCTACGTGCCCAATGACAGGGCTCCAAAATAGATAAAACAAACTCTAACAGCACTGAAAAGAGAAATTGACAGTTCTACAAAAATAGTAGGAGACTTCAATACACTGTTCTCGCTAAAGAACAGAACATCTAGAAAGAAATTCAACAAAGATACAGAAGACCTAAAGGGCACAATCAGCCAACTTGACCTCATAGACATATATAGAACACTCCACTCAAGAGCTGCAAAGTACACATTCTTTTCCAATGCACATGGAACATTCTCCAGAATAGACCATGTCTTAGGCCACAGAGCAACCCTCAACAAAATCCAAAACATTGAGACAGTGCAAAGTATCTTGTCTGACAACAATGCCACCAAGGTAGAAATTAACAACAGGAAGAGCAAGGAAAAAAATCAGTTACATGGAAACTGAATAACACTCTGCTTACAAACCACAAGGTAATAGAAGAAATCAGAGATGGTATCAGAAAATTTCTAGAATCAAATGAGAATGAAAACACATCATACCAAAACCTTTGGGACATAGAAAAGGCAGTCCTCAGAGGACAATTTATAGCAATAGATGCACACATCAAGAAAGAAGAAAGGAACAAAATCAGAACATTAACTACGGAACTTGAACAAATAGAAAGAGAACAGCAAAAAAAAAAAAAAGCCGACAGCCACCAGAAGAAAGGAAATAATGGAGATTAGAGCAGAAATAAATGGACTAGAGAATAGAAAAACAATAAAAAGAATCAACAAAAGTAAAAGTTAGTTCTTTGAAAGGATTAACAAAATCAACAAACCACTGGCCAAACTGACAAAAGAAAAACAGGAGAGGACACAAATAACCCAAATAAGAAATGAAATGGGGGACATTACAACAGACCCAATTGAAATAAAAAGGATCATAACAGAGTATTATGAAAAACTACACTCCAACAAATTTGAAAAC